GGGGCCAGGCATTGATCTGTAAAGATATCTTAGTGGGCTGGTTTTATCTGTAAAGTAATGTTCACATGCTAAATGTTCCCAGCACAAGATGCTACAGCATCAACTTCCCTCACCTCAACGCTTACGAGAGTGAGGCACCTGCCACACATCCAACTATTGGTTTATCAAACATAAAATATACAGAATAGGGTCCCCTTTGCACTATATACTTAGATGTGATAGTGAAAGGAAGAGCTTGACTATATGAAGCTAGTTATCAAAATCCCTCTGAAGATGCACTGAGCCACGCATCCAACTATTGGTTTATCAAACATAAATATACAGAATAGAAACTAGAGATTATAYAATGTAAATCAAATAAAAGGAGTTAATATTGCAAATATTAGTGACAGAGAAAAGAAAACAACTATAGAAATATGAAACTTGCAGAAATAATAACCTACCAGGGACATAAGAGGATTGCTGGCAGAAGCAAATGGTAGTCTGCTTTCTGAATCAAGGTTTGCAATAGAATGCCCTGGAAAAAAAAAAAAAAAAAAAAAACTTATAATTAACAAAAGGGAAATACATGATCCTAACTCTGCAGAAAACATATAGTTACTTATAACTATGAAAATAATGGAACCAAAAGTGCAAAAATATCCTGAGAATCACCATTAGAATTTGCATACTGTCTTTCACCATCAGCTATGTTTGGCACATTAGCTGAGACAGATTTGCTCAGAACTTCAATATTCTCCAACAGACCATCCTCCATGGGCAGACGAACAAAATGGAGGATACACTGTGCTTTTGACTTAGTGCCAACGTGTTCTGCAATTTCATTCCAGTTATCATTGTAGATTTCCAATGCCTCCAACAGTAGAAGTGTTTCCTGGTCAGTCCAACTATCCCCATCGATATCACATAATTCTCTCATGGAATCCACCCTTATGAAATCCATGCTTGAGTGACCAATAACAAATCTCCCTTCATGGAAGCAATCCAAACAAAGTAGCACATCAACCTGCTGGCAAGGTGTTGATTACTCACACAAGTGGAAACCAAAGAAACATCACAGCAACTTAAGATTTTATACTATATTAGAATTCATTTCAGATTTCACATCAAGATTCAAGCAGTAAGCACGRTTTAAAATTTTATTTACCAAAGAAAATTTGCCTCCAGAAACTTCTTAGAGAGACAGGGMTACACTAACCATCTTTTCAGTGTTCACATCAAAATGGTTTTAGGTGCAATTCTTGGATATTGCACTGACTATGATCCTATAATTAAGCATGTCTCTCAAACATGTCAAGCCTGGATGCCATTGAAAACAGCTATCATCATTATCCAGTATCCCCCATAAAAAATGGAGGGTGTACAAATGGTGTAATAAAATGTCCAACGCATCATACACCAGGTCAAACAAGACATCTAATGAGCTTAGGTTGTGTTTGGTACCATTGCCATTTCTTCCAGAATTGGGTTGATCAACACAAATTGATGAGAGATATGTTAAATTTTCAGCTAGAATGATTACACTTCCCCTTGCGGGTACTTCATTTACCAATAACTAACATGGAAAGAAGCTTACTTGATCATATTATGTTGTTCACTATGTGAGGTTTCTTCCTAGGTTAGCCTTTAGTTGATATATAGAATAGTAACTGAGTTGATTAAGATTTGTTCTACAACCCCCCATC